CATCCATTGCACTCGATAATAGAGGACAGGTTGACGTTTTGTATACAGATATGGCAAAGGCCTTTGTGAATATCGACTATTATATATTTATTACACAAGTATTACGGATTTAGCAATAGTCTTGTCACTTTGTTTAGGTATTACTTGAGATTCTCGACAACATTCTATGTATTATGATTTAAGAGAGACTTTAATTAACATTGGTAGTTCCATTGTTACAGGATTATAGCACTCTTAAAATAAATATCCTGATTAAAAGAATTTATGTACCAAGTACCATAATTTTTATCTTAATAATTATTTAATATTTAGGAAAAGAAAATTTTCATGTAGATAAACTTATCTTACTTGAACCTAGTTGTACTTTCGGAGTTGATATCTCTTTGATATTCCATTCTTCTTGTCTATTATTTTCTTTTTCCTAAGGTAGTCGATTTTCTTTAGTAAGTGTACATTCCAAAAATGACTCCTAAAATTATGAATACAATACAGAAGTATGACGTAAGCCTTCAAGATGTATATATTTTTATTACCTAACTAAGTTAGAAATTAATTTCATATTTATTATTTTAAATATGGTTTTGTTTACATTATTAGATATATGACAAGGATGACATTTGAGATGTGTCAATCATTCTTGTGCAATAAAACTTTTATGAAATGATTCTTGGAGTAACTTAAAAGTAACAGAGGTATGTAATGAGAACCTTCTATCTTTCTTTTTCTCTCTATACAAAGAGATATCTATCTCACTTCTTACTTAATTAATTAAATAAAAGGTAATTTAAGGAGTAGATCGATTAAACTAAGTTTTGAAACAGGAAGTACCTTAGTAATGTTAAATCTGACATTCTTCTTAAGGGGTTCATGAGATCCGCATGGCAGATTTGTAATTTGTTACAGTTTTTGTATTCATAAGCTAAGCTATTGATTCCTACTAAGAGTTGTTCCAGTTGGAAACTCTTCCGATTAATTGGATTTGAAAGGAATCATAGTTACAGTTTACTTCGATTCATACTCAAGTATTCCCTGCTTAGAAACAAGTACATTCACCAAAGGGCTCCATTGCATACCTGGTAAGCATTATAAGTTATAATCAACGTTAAACATTAAATACTCATGAAGACTTACTTCTTTTTAGGCCGTATTCCTTAAGATATCTTTGGTTTTTACCTCTGTATATACCCTTGTATTCAGTATGTCGCTAATGTATGGAATAAATTCATTATTTCTAAAATAATCGACTATTGAAAAAAATCCAAAAACAGGTCAATTTTAATTTTTGAATCGTCATCACATGATGTAGCTGTAACGAACATTACGTCACCAATATTACCGTGGTGACGTAATCGGCAATTTTTTTAAATGCAACCATGTGTCTCAAAACACCTCATTGGAAAGGTCTTCTAATCTAAACCAAAGTTTTGGTCGACCCTGTAGAAATAAATATTCAAATAATTACATCGTTGTAAAGACGATTAGAAGACCTTTCCAATGAGGTGTTTTGAGACACATGGTTGCATTTAAAAAAATTGCCGATTACGTCACCACGGTAATATTGGTGACGTAATGTTCGTTACATCTACATCATGTGATGACGATTCAAAAATTAAAATTGACCTGTTTTTGGATTTTTTTCAAAAGTCGATTATTTTAGAAATAATGAATTTATTCCATACATTAGCGACATACTGTATACCTCTGTATCTAATTTTGTAAATCCTTCTGAACATACTCCTGTATATTATCCTGCATATACTCCGCACTATCTAGTTAGGATTGATTGAATCACATTTACCAAGAGATCACATTGTACTATCCAGAGATCACATTGTACTATCCAGAGATCACATTGTACTATCCAAGGGGGCACAAACGGACACTCCAAGTATTTAGTTAATTCCAGGACTCCTTAACCATCAATACAAGGTAACTTTAGTTAAGTTCATACCCCAGGCGACATATCTCTTACTAGAGGTCCGGTATATACACGAAGAAATATACCACGTCTATTTCTTGAGACTACAAGGAAATATATAGTTTAAATATTCGACATTACTAGATAATTACATATTCTTTTATTATGGTATATAGTAATGAACTTTAAAGTTTGGAATTAGAAGTACCTGTAATATTTTCCGTCAGCGAATTTACGAAATGTAAACTCTAGATATGCGTATTTGAGAGTGGTAAATATTTCCATATATCGCATAACATATAACTTACTCAAATTATTTGAATTATATACAATTTATAGCTATTTTTACTAGGTATTAGATTCACGAGCATTTTTAATTAATCATAACCTTTAATTTAGTTAATTTGTCTTTTTTGTCAAAGTCATTCTTCATTCATTGGAACTTAGACCAACACCAACTAGATAACGACCCAATCTATAAAATTAAATTCATGATATATTCATTGTATTTTTTTATTGTACCCATTTACCTGAGAGAAATTAGTTCAGGGATAGATAGTGATACTTTTTTGGAAACATTGGATTCCACGTTTCTTTTTTTCACTATCTTCCTGATTTAAATTATAACAGTAGATCGGGCTAAAATTACTGTTATACCATATACGGAAACAACGTATAAATTTATAATTATCAGTGTCCAATAATATTCCCTTGAATATGCGATATTTATTGTTACAAAACTGTCGTTTACTTGTATACGGGGTGTTAAATTTTAATATGTCTAACTTAAGAAAAATCATATTTATATTTACGCAAAGCCATCCTTTTTCATGTTTTGTACGAAAACTTATAGAGATCTTTGTAGTTTTTTGATATAGTGTCACACATTTATTCATTATATTACAAAAAGTTACGTTTTTACTTCGCTTACATACGCAATAATATTTTCAGTAAGTGCTCCCCATTTAAAAAAATATAATAACATTGTTTAATTTTTCAGCTCATATGTTTCAATAATGCAAGCTTTTAGGTGTATCACTATATTTAAGATCTGCAGAGTATTTTTATAATTACCTATTTTTACAATAATATGCAGCAATATACAACAATTTATAAGCTCAGCACCTGCTCATTCGAAATACATAATCAAAATAATTTTAATTGCCAATATCAATTGTTCTATTTAATGTTTTTATCTTGCTGAGAGTGTGTATTTTGCTTTTCAATGTAACCTCTAATTAAATCAAAAGGTTAATGAAAACATCCTGATCTGTTATTGTACAAAATATCACGTCCAAGAGAGGTCTTGCCAAGTTTTTCTTGTACGCTTGGGCCTTTTGTGGAGTACCAATTATTTCAACGGAATCTGTAGGGGAAGCTATGGGGAAGCTTACGTCTCTATAACTTTACCATCTAGGGTATCTGAAAGTAATGAATTTTTAGTTTCTTCAAGACAAGGCAATCCTAATTTTCAAACTTACTTAAACTTACCATTCCAAGACAAGATCCTATAGTTGAAAGGTATTGTACTAATGACCCAGTCGGTTATCATCGGTCAGGTAGAGTTAATTTTTCCAATTTTCCCGCTCAGAACAGATGTTATGGAGACTCTGAAAAATAGATCGAAAATTTATTATATCGAAATTACAATATATCGAAAATCAACATTAAAAATAGTAAAATATCAAAAAATCAAACGATACCATGCAACCGTCCGTCTAATCCCTACTACCGGAGAAACTAAACTCAGCGGCTATCAAAATTAGGTACTAATGGCAGATTTTTCGATAACATCACACGATAGCTACCTCGTTTAACAAATTTTTATCCTTACAATACTGTTAATTTAAAAATTAATATTTTAGCGCTAAACGGTTATTTATCTTCATTGAGATTAAAAAACTGTGATTAATTCGCACAAAATATGTATTTCAATAAGGTTGGGTTTTTTCCCGATGGGACAATTTAGGTAAATTAACTTAGGTTTTTTTTATAAAAAAATTAATTTAACTAACCTGTGCGACCTGGAGCCGTCGCAGTTTACCTCCCAAAAAAATTATAGAAAAATGAGAAAAATAAAAAATATACCTAACCTGTACGGCCTACAGCAATTTAATTTTAACTGATTGCTTAGTTAGGTAATTTGGTTAAGTTTTTTTTTATTTTGGAGCCGTCGCGGTTTGCCTTGCAAAAAAAAATATAAAAAAATAAGAATAATAAAATCAAAAATTGTAATTTACCTAACCTGTGCAGCCTGGAGCCCTCGAAGGTTGCTTCGCAAAAAAATTATATAAAAAAGGGAAAAATAAAAAACCTAACTAATTTACCTAACCTGTGCGGATTGGAGGAGTCGCGGTTTGCCTCGCAAAAAAATTATAAAAAGTTAGGTACGTTAGTTAATTTTTTTTTCTTTTGTTGTATATTTGTTTTTGCGAAGCAACCAATGATGATTCTAAATTGGTTAAAATTTTTCTTTTAATTTTTCTTATTTTTTAATTATTTTATGTATATTTGGTTTTTCGATCAATTGCTTTTTCTATCAAATCTATTTTCGATCAATTTTCTTTTCGATCATTTTTCTGTTCGATCATTTTTCTTCTCAATCATTTGTTATTCGATAAAGTGTTTTTTCGATCAAATGCATTAGATCAAATGTATTCGATCAAATTTTTTCAATCAATTTTGTGCCACCCCCCAAATTCAGTCGGTAATAGTTCAAATGTTGTAGGTGCAGTAAATTCAAATGGGTTAGAGACAAGGTTAAGGAACTTGGATTTGTGTCAGCCAAGGTTTTCCGATTTATGTAGTTCTTTTAATGAAGGGTCTAGGTGGAGAGTCACTTTTGACGTGGAGTCAAGTTTAACCAACTTCTTGGAGCGAATTGAGAAGTTCTCGTGGTTTCTCATCTGGTCAGTTACTGCGGTCAGCTCCAGAGCCAGATGGCTTTGTATCCTAATATCATGACTCTGACGGAATTAACCAAGCTCACTAGGACTGAGGAAACCTCTCTTCGTGTACAGAACTTTGCTCGCCCACCCTCTAATATGCAATAACTACTTGAACCAGATCTAGCATTTCGTAGGTTCCTGGAGAATAATCGACCTCCTGTCCAAGTAGTAACTACCATCGAACCTCTACCTTCACAAGTTCAGTCTGTGCCTTTGGATTTTAATCCAGCTCTAGTAGATGAATCTACGAATGCAACTAGAACACCGCTGTGTTGGAATTGCAAACAGTCAGGCCACAGATTTAAGAAATGTCCTCAGAAAAGACGACTTTTCTATCGGAAATGCGGCAGAGACCACGTTACTGTTAATAATTATCCCAACTGTCAACAAAATGGAAGGCAGAGTCCGAATTAGATCGGTCGATGCCACACCTTGAAAACTTGATAGCGAATGTGTCTGTCGTTCTTGATTTTGTATTGGCTCATGCGAAGAATGACGCGACCTTATGTCAAAGTCGGAATAAAAAGGCGTTTTTGTATGATTTTTTGTTAATAAATTTGTAACCATGAGGAAAATGTGTTCTTAATTAGCCATTTTGGATGTCAAACATTAATAATAATGACAAAGAAATGTGATCAATTAGGTTTTGATCCGAAAACTAGAAATATGCATTATTTGGAAATGTGAAAATAGGTATAATCCCATATTCACTCTACAAAATTGAAAAATGTATCCCCACATCCCCAAAGTGAAAACAAATCAAAGAAAAATTGGAAAAGCTTATAAATAACCTCCAACTTGTGGCGTGGACGCCTTTACCAATTGGACCAATGAAACAGCTACGACAATTAGATTTTCACTCTTCGATGCAGGCACACATTCTATCCCCACCCTTGGCTCTGTCAATTCTTCGTACAGCCACCCTTGCAATATCGTGTAAAAGGATGCCAAGTCCAGCTTGCAAACGAATGAAGTATCTTAGAATGTATTCTAGTGCACCACTACTCGTTTAAGGTGAAGCCAGATTTGTCACATGCAGACAGCTATACATCACTGCGCAAAAAACGGTATTAACTCATAAGATGAGACATTCAGCCTACCTTAAAAGCACTCAGTTTCATGCAGGTACTCTCAAAGCTTGTGTGGGATAATTAAACTTTATTTTTCTTTCCTATTTTAATCAAGATATGCTAGTCACTATAGATTACTTTCATTTAAAAATTATACAGTCCACATAGCGAATTAAACAAAAGAAAACACATTGAACATGATTACTTTCTACAAATCGCCAAAGAGGTACAAATGTACTACTAATTAATTGATTAAGAAATTTTAATTAAAAATCAGTAAAATAATCATTCTCTAATATAGTTTCTTTTTTAAAAAATATTTAACACAATATCGTACATGAGATTTTAATTAAAAATGAGTAAAAAAAAAATTATTCTCTAATAAATATGGTTTCTTTTTTAAAAAATATTTAACATAATATCGTACATCTTTTAACATATAAAAACTTTGTTATATTTTCGTCCCATCTAATTTATCTTTTCAACTTTTTTATCCTGATTAATTCAATCTTTATGTAACATATCCGACAGTTCCGTCTAATTTAAATCCACACATACTTTACGATGACATTTGCACGAAGAAAAATGTGACATAATTAATTTTAATCTCTCCGTATAATCCTCACTAATGTAATATGGTTTCAAAGGCACCGTACCATAATTAATCTTGATGACCTCGAAAAAGATGACACTCTATTAATAAATAAATGACCAGATACACAAGTTGTCGTGTCAATGAAACTTTTGCATATATCTTTTAATAAATTGGCCAAAGTAAATGAGTGAATGATTTCGAAAAAAGAATAAAAACTAAATATTAAGTGAAATAATTTGTTTTCTTCTCCTGGTTGTATATCCTTGTACTTCCGTTGTGTCTAAAATTCATGTTTTTAGGATCGCTTCATTTAAGAGATAAATATGGATTGTTTTAAAGAATTTGATCTCCGATTAATTTTTAAAAATTATGTAGTTTTTGAGTTACTTAAAAAAAGGGCCGATTTTTTTTGGGTCACCTTAAACGTTAATTTGACATAGACTTACATTCTTGAGACAATTTATAGGACGATATTTGTAATTTATCAATATCTATTATAAGCTTGGGCGGTAATATTTAGTTACTTAATCAACGTCAGGAAAAACTAGAAATTAATTCAATAAACGATTTAATAACTTTAAATTGAAAGGTAAAATTTAGAACAAAATAAAATTAGAGAGAAATAAATATTAAATGATTAAAAACAATAAAACGTAAATAAAATAATAGTAAAATAAAATAGATAAAATAATTAATGCACGTATGAGATGGCGTACCTGAAATAAAAGATAAACAAGTATAAGCAATTAAGTTTACTAAAAGCAGTTTTATATTAAAAAAAGTCATGAAAAGGTGATATCCATGAACAAAATACTTATCCTTTTAATTAACAAGAAAATTATACTAATAACTCTTTATGTCAAAATATTCATTATAAAAAAAATATAATTGACACAACTTTTAATTTTCCATAATGGACAAAAAGTTATATTCTCAATTCTGTTGGCACTGACCGCAATGCCCAAACAGCGATCGATATATAAAACAAGCAATTACTAGCACACTGATCGCAATGTACTACGCCAGAACAGACAATCTAACTCACTTTACTTTTGATTACACCTCGTAGAGGAAAACAAAATATAAGTAAATAGTCAAATAAGTTTTAATTATTTAATATAACCCCGTTAATTTAGGATATAAGGTTTTCTCAATACTTGACAAAAAAATCTTTATCTTTACTTTAATTTTGTTCCGTAGAGCAACTAACCCAAATTTAAAATGATCTGTATTTTATGCCTGCTTGATATTTTACCCTTAGTTCCCATATTCGTAAACCGATACCTCCATATCTTAATAGTGTTAACATAAACATAGTCTGTGACTGTTTTGGAAGACAAATATTTCGTGCGTTTAAAAACCGAGTGTTTTGTAAAATAAAACTTATTAAATTTGTACAGAAAATCATTCTTACAAATTTTTATTGAAAAATATTTTTGTAGAAAATAAAATTTTAAATTGTCTTTGGTTTTCAAGTTACCTACCGTAACATTTTATTATTTCCTATGGCGGCCATCTTAGATTGCCACATACCATCCAAGTTTTTAAGAAATACCCTTAAATTAATAAAATAATATTTTTCTTAATTTAGCAACACTGCATCCATATAAAAGAGCACGTGGTACACCAAACTGTATTGCCAAATATTATCGCATACCAGACATAGTCAAGTATTTGTTTGCTGTAGTATTGTCAGGATAACTTAAAAGCTCTTTAACAAGTCACAAGGGAATGTTATTTAATTAAGTTTGTCACTACCGATGCTGTCAGTTCGATAGAAGGGCGTGATCCAAAAAGTATTTGATTGGCTGCCTTCTTGGCTAATGAATCAGCAAGACCTTTCGATGTAGCGTGACCTTCGATCCATCTTAATTTGACCACATTGTTGATGGATACTTCGGCCAAAGCTTCTTGTCATTCGAGTACTAACCCTGAACATGTCGCTTCCAGTGATAATATTTCTGGTGATATTTCTTTTACTGCTATAAGAATTCCCGGGAGCTCGGTTTGAACTATACTGGCACTTTCGTTCACATTCCATTTTATGTTTAGGTTTAAGGATCTAGACTTTTGCGACTATGATACTTGTAGGCAATCCTACAAATAAAACGAATAGAAATGAGAGATTTCAACATCATACTTTTTTTAAGACTCTATTTTTGAATATTGGATAATTTACTTTTTCGTCATAAATCTGTGTTGAAAAAAAAAATTGTAGCGCTCCTGTTCTAAAATAACCCTTGCATGCTTACTTGACGATTACCAATAATTCTATAAAAGCCAATTTTATCATTGTTTTACCGTTTTTTGATCATCAAGGGGGAGGATTTATTTTTTTAATGACCAAACCCAATATCTCCTATTCCTTAGATCTTACAAACGTGAAAATTTGAATCAGTGATTCCTTTGAAAATAAAGTAATACAATTGCACCGTTTGCCGATCATTCAGCTAAGGGTGGCAATTTAGAACCCTTGAAAACTAACTTTTTTATATGGCTTATTTGTCACTAATTTTAAAATAAAAACAAAATTTTATATACTAACAAATTCTGTATTTAATAAAAAATAAAAGTTGTTAAAAAAATGTGTCTCATTTTAGACTTTACCACCCCAGTATTTTGTTTATAAACTATCCATTTAAATTTTTTTTAACCATAATATACCCTCACTATATTGTATTTTTATGGTACGTTACTTTCCCTTCATGGTAAACTGCTAGCAATGTTAAAGAAGCCATATTAGGGATTTTTATCAAAAATTTTAACAAAAAAAATTGTTTAAAATCGCTAAATCCCTAATCAAGGGCATAGATAAGACGGGTAATGGAAGTAATTACCCCCCATCTTTTCTTTAAAGGTTATATTACTTTCTGGTAATACACATATGAAATACTAGCTGACCCGATCCCGTTTCGCTGGAATTTCTCAAACCACATATTAATTTTTATTAATTTAATGTTCATTAATATTTACTAATTTTTATTAATAATTATTGTTTTTTGTTTATTTTTATTTAGTTTTATTTATTTTTATTTAATTTTATTTTTTTTATTTATTTTCATTTATGTTTAATAATTTTTATCTATTTTTATTTATTTTTATCTACTTTTATTTATTGTTATTTATTTTTATTTATTATTATTTTATATTATTTATTAGTATTTATTTTTATATATTTTTATTTATTTATTTTTTGTTTATTATTTATTTTTACGATACTTCCCATTCCTCTCCCTCTTAAAAATGTGAAAATCCAAAACCTTGAAATACGTCATTATTTACTTATGATCAGTAGATTAGATTAGATTAGATTAGGAGTTGGACGTTATTTGTCCTTGTCCACCGCGACCTTTTCAGATCTATTGTGGGACTCCGTTTGTTTTAGAGTATGTCGTCTAGCCTGGTCTTTTTTATTAGACTTAGTAGCTTTGACAGTGGCTCCCGCATGTAGTTGCATGCAATTGGCTTTTCTTCGCCCAATGTTAGAAACCTCATTCCAGCCAAGCCTTCACATTGGCACAGGACGTGGAATGATGTTTCCTCTTCTTCTTCACAGAACCTGCACAAAGTTGCTTCTTCTGCTGGATTTATGACACTCATGTGCCTTTTGAGGCGACAGTGTCCAGTAAGAAGGCCTACTGTTATCCTAACGATTTGACGTTTTTGATCCAGTAGGTCTTTCGTAAACTTGGCCGATGGTTCCTTGATGAACTGTTTGGCCTGTCTCAGTCTTGGATAGTTGTTCCACC